CTTAAGAAAAAAGTAGAAGAAATCAGAAGAAACAGCAACAAGAAGGAAGCATTATCAAGTTACAAAATTAATTAAGCATATAAAAGTGAAAAAACACAAGCAGTAATAGAGAAAAAAATAAGTAAAATGAATAAACAATTAAAGATACTAGACAAGAAAATCAGCACAAAATTGCCAAAACTACAAAAACAATAGTCAAATGCATAGATAGAAGATATAAAGAGTTGAAGAAAGCTATTATTAGAAAGGAAAAAAAAGGACTAAGAGTAAATAAAAAGAAAACAAATAGAAGTGAATATAGATAAAAGATGTAAAATAATCAAAACAGATCAGAAAAAAATAATAGTAAGTTTCTTGAATAGGCCTTATAAGAAGATAGTACTTAACAGATTTATCAAACAAACAAAAGAAAAAGTGAATCTGCTAACAAGCCCAGAAGATATCAGAGTAGAAGTAGCAGAACATTACAAAAAACAATTTAGAAAAAGAAATACAAGATTAAAAGAGATGTCAAAAGAGTGAAAAGAAATATATAAACTATAAGAAAACATTAAAGAGAAATGGTACTTAGAAGTTAAAAGAGAAATTGAAAAAAAAGAATAAGAAGTAATATTAAAAGAACTAAAGACAGAAACAGCTTCAGGCATATTAGATATAAGTTACATCCTAATAAAGCAAGCAGAAAAAAAAATATAAGAAGTATTTAGAGGTTTTGCAGACCTATGTCTAGAAGAAGAAAAGATGCCAATAAAATAGAAGATAGCACAAGTTTACCTAATATCTAAAAACATCAAGTAGAGATATAGTTTAAACAACATATGACCAATAGCATGAATAGAAACATTTAGAAAAGTTGTAACAAAGATGGTAACAAGAAGGTTTGCCAAAATGTTTACAGAAAAAGAAATACTCAAAGGACCAAATTATGCAGGCCTTTTAGGTAACTCAACAGAGCAACCAGTACATATTCTCAACATAATAATAAAAGAAGTAAAAGAAAAAGATAAAAAAGCATAGATACTTTTGCAAGATATAAAAAAAGCATTTGACTCAGTTTTACTTGAGAGTCTAGAACTAGTACTGAAAAGAGTTAAAGTGCCTAAAAAAACAATAAAATACATCTTGGATCTGTTTCATGAAAGACAACTAAGAATTATTATAGCTTACAGCCTAACAGAAGAGATAACAGTAAAAGATAGCATAAATTAAGAAGAAGTAATATCTCTATTAATATGGTTGCTGTAAAAATTAGACCCAGGTACTTCAAATATTTTCATTACTTAATTTATTATCTGGGGTACCTCTATAGAGAGGGTATACTGTATTGATAGAGGTACATAGGCTGAGATAAGTAGTTGATTGAACTTCTAGCACTATTAAATTTTTATATATGCTACTATATTGGGCTTTTAAGTTTATTCAAAATGTTAGATGCTAAATAATTTATAAATATAGTTTGTATATATGATAAAATCAAATTAAAAATTGTTATAAAGCATAAGAAAATTCAACTTTTAAAATATTCTAACTCCTGTTTTAGCAAAGCAAATTTAATTCTACAATATGATAATAAAATAGCATAATTTTAAATCTATGTGATCATATTTTATAATATGTGAATTTTAGAGATCTTTGTTGTTTTAAACATATAAATAATGAATATTTTACTATGAAAATTTATTTCTGAAGCAGAGCAAAGAAGCTTAAGTCCGGACAATAAGTAAGAACAATTCTGTATAGATTAACTATTGGTTAACCTCAGTTCAGAGTGCAGTAATTTAACTTTTAGCAGTATAATCATTATTCTTTAAAATTAATATGTATACATAAGTTATATACAATTTATTTAATTAAATTAACAATGTAATATTATATTACACATTAAAAGCAAGCTTTTTAAATAAAAGAATTGAATTCAAATGAATAATAATAAATATAAATGTTAAGCATAATAATGTGTTTGTTGTCTATTATATATAATTTAATGTAATTAATTACATTTTATGACCTAAGTAAGATATAATCATTTGATCATTATTATACAATATCTCTAAATAAGAATAAAGATTATTATATATCAATATCTCTGAATAAAAATAAAGTTTATGTTAATATCTAAGAATATAAAAAAATAAAAATTAACTTGTTAATAATTTGAGATAAATAAAAACAGTATTTTTTTTTTTTTTGTAAATATTCGTAACTTTCGCTTTAAAATAGATAACAAAAATGAAAAAGAATTTTTTTATTATAAAAAAAAAAAAAATTCTTTTAACAATGTTATAGTAACTTTTCTCTTGCAGGACTAGCTAAAAATTTAAGAAAATAAAATTGTATGTACTGTATAATTTATATTTTATAGCTAAATAACACATTAATGTGATGCTCTGAATTCCAATGAACTCATTTTTCTAGTTTATTTATAATTTTAGATAAATTAATACAATAAATTAGAAAATATCTTCACATAGATTTAAAACTATGTTATTAATATCGATATATCATTTACAAATTACAAAATTACTGATAAATTTTCTTTATTAGAACAATAGCTAAAACATTTTAAAAATGCACTGATATTATAATAAAATTATTACATATGTTACACTCTAATTACTGGATTCAGCTTATGAAAAATCTGATTGATATATACATATCAATCAGGCTGAATCCAATAAATAACTATATATTTTCTTGAAAGTTAAGTTTTTTTTAATATCAATTAATTGAGATTAGTAATAAACTTGAAAGCCTGATGCTACATTTTTAGCAACACTTTAACACTATTCATATGAAAGAGACATCTTTATATAAAAAATTCTGCATATATAAATCACTTCTAAAAAAAAATTTTTTTTAAAAAAAAGGTTTATTTTTAAACAATTTTTTTTTTAAAAAAAGGGTTATTTTTAAATAATTTTTTTTTTAAAAAAAGGTTTATTTTTAAATAATTTTTTTTTTAAAAAAAAGGGGTTTAAACTATTTTTTTTAATAATATATAGCTCATTAAATATTAACATTCTTTCAATTATTTTTTAACCATTTGTTTATATTCCAAGAATATGCCTAATTGCCTTGAGCAGGACTATCGGCTCTAGGTTTATACCCTAATGGCTCAGCAATTAGGTTTGAACTTTTTTTCTTTTAAATCAAATTTTAAAGGATTTATTATTATAAGAATTTTTTTCTAAATTTATTGTACAAATATGAACTGTTTGAAAATACATTACAATTGCCTTAAGCAAGACCAATGGCTCTAGAGTTATATCTTAACAGCTCAGTAATTAGGTGTAAATATTTTTTTATCATTAAATTTACCACCTACCAGTACTTTTTTTATTAAATTTATCATCATGTCTTTTTTTTCAAATTTACTACTATATCTTTTATTTTTTTTCAAATTTATTGCCATGTTTTTTTTTTTCTTCAAATTTACTATTATGTTATATTTTTTTGGAATTTATTACTATATTATTTTTTTTTCTCTTTAAATCTATTGTTGTGAACACAAACTATATAAAAGTGTACCCAAGTTCTTTGGAACACTAGCTGAATTTTTTTTTCTCAGTTTTTTTTAAATTTATCATTATATTCAATTTTTTTTTCTTTGAATTAATTGTTATTATGGTTCTGGAATTTTACACTAACTCAGATTGAATTTGAAATATCACATGTTGTGTGATATTCTCCTTAAATAAAAACTTAAAACATATGAATTCTCTTTAAACACATTAAAAAATGTTTTCACAAAATAAAAGTATTAGTAAAAAATCACATATTCATAACAAGTCTTAGCATAACTGAAGTGTTTGTGAAAAGCTTATAGTGGTTTATTATTTTGAATGTATTCAAAATATAAAAGCAACTGCAAGAAAATTTGAGATTGAACCCAAACAGATTTGTAACTGACAAAGCAAGAAACAGGATCTTTTAAATGTTGCATCTTATCTTTTAATGCTCAATCATAGTTGTCTAGCTCAGTATCCACTTTTAGAAGAAAGGCTATTTGAATGAGTTGAAATTCTTTATAAAAAACAGATGGCTGTTACATGAAATATAGTTGTTAGAAAGGCTAAAACATTGGTTAAAACTAATAAAATAAAGGATACATATTCTAATATCGATAATTTTAGGTTTTTCAATAGTTGGTTAAGTGAATTTTTTACCATAATGATCTGTTAAATCACTAACACACAACAATTTTGCAACATTTTTCTGAAGATCTTATTGAACTACAAAGTGAGTTCTTAAGCTTTGTTTTGTTCAAACATTATCAATACAACTATAACATTCAATATATTGAAAATATGGATGAAACAGCATTGTTATTTGATTTGCATTATCCAGTAACTCTTGAAAAACATAGTACTAAAACTGTAAGCATTCAGACAACTGGACATGAAAGAACATCTTTTATTGTAATTTTGGAATATTTTGCAGATGAAAGGAAGCTTCTTGCAGTATGCATTTTCAAATTAAAAAACATTCCTCAAAGTTTTTCCTAAAGGTGTTATTATTCATATAAATGCAAAAGGGTGGTGCAATAAAGAGAAGATGCATTATTGGATTAATAATGTGTGGTCTAAACATAGTTAAGTGGGAAATTCTCAATCTCTTCTTGTTTTGGATTCATTTAGTGGTCATACAAAAGATTCTGTTAAAAGTTATTTTTAGGAAAACAATATATATCTTGTAGTTATTCCTGGTAAACTAATCAGTAAATTGCAACTTCTTGATGTTGTAATCAATAAATATTTCAAAGAAAAGGTACAATATATTAAATTTTTTTTTTTTTTTTTAATCAACAATAAAATTTTAATTAACAGATATGCTTTCATTATAACAAATGAATAATTAATAATCCTTATCAATTTACCTCTGCTAAATGTATTAAAAAGCCATTGTATTTCAATTTAGCTTAATGGGTAGAAGAATTGTAAGATGAGATTGATCCTTATTTAATTAGAAAATCATTCAAGTGTTGTGGTATTTTAGTAGAAATGAATAGTTCTAAAGATGACTTGGTGTTCGATTATGAAATTTTGGAAGAAGATTTAACAAGCGTAAATGAAAAAAACATTGAAAAGGAGTCAGATTCTAATGATCTTAATGGTGAAGAGTATAAAGAAACTAGAAGTGGTAATGATTGGAAATAAAAGATCAATTTTTGTAATTTTTTTAAATAAAGCAATTTGTTGTTAATGTTTTATAAAGTGTAGTGATGGAAAAATGTGCATTTTATAATAACATATGTATTAATGCACATGATACTGCATGATATAAATTCTTTTTTTTGTTTTATTTTGAAAAAATCATTATGTTTTTTGAATTTTGGTTATGCCTTGCTTGTCTTTGAAGTTCATTTATTTTCTTTCAGATTTTTGTAACTTTTTAAATTCTTATCTCTTAATTTTACTCAGATTATGTTCTTTGGTCTAAATTATATGGCCTAACAAAAACATATATAAATTCTTGATGAGCAAAAATATGCATATTTCAGATATCATGCATATGCATTATACTTATCATTAATTAAATGTAATGTTCAATATGAAAAATATGCTATTGGTAAAATTTAAAAATTCACTATATTGAATAGCAGTTTGAGTAGCATTTGAACTGTGTTATTTAACATGACTAATTTTTAAATTTTACCAGTAGTGTATTGAATTATAATATAGTGATCATGCATAAAATAATTAAAGAATTTTATAATACATTGTTGAGTTTGCTATATTAGATATTGTTGATTAATAGTTCTTGATATTGTTATATGTATTTGCTCTGCTAATAAATTTTTACTAATCATAATTCATTTTAAAAAACCAGTTTTTTATAACTTTATGTATGTTATAATTAATATGTAACAATATATTATTTAAAGATATATCTTATACTCAGGTATAAGTCACAAACTGGCACTTCAAACTAGTAAAGAGTACACTGTATAAGGGAGTATATGGGTCTGATTTTTATGGTACTTTTTTATGATCTACTGTTAAAGAGAATACAAGAAGACAAAAATTTAGAATATATAATAAAACAACAGATCAAAAGAGAAATGCAATGCAGCAATATTACAAAGTATTACCAACCAGCTATTGCATATACAGATGATATAACATAGATTGTAAATAATAAAACAGCTAATAGAGATATTAAAAATAGCAGAATAATTTTTTAAAATAAATAACATGGAGATAAATAGATCCAAATCAAAGCTTTTGATAATGAATACAAAAGTAAAAAAAAAAAAAAAAAAAGTAATCTTTGGAGAAAGTAAAATAACAAAAAAAGCAAAGAACAAGATAGTTTGTTTACTAGGAATATGGCTAAATAACAGAATAAGTAAAGTGCTAATAAAAAAAAAGCTAAAAGAATAATGAACTAAACAATAAGAGATCTTAGATACAAAAAGATGACAATGAGTCAAATTGCATATATAAACAATATAGTAATAATATCAAAATCAAGTTATATGCTACAGCTAACAAAAATGTCAGAAAGAAGTATAAGTGAAGTACATTAATCAATAATAAGCTTAGTGAAGCAAAAGAGCAACCTACAAAGAATATTAAAAAACTGCATAATAGAACACAAAGATCTTGAAAGCTGCAGAACACTATAACAAGAATTAATGACAAAACAAATAAGTAGCCTATTAGCAAGACTAAACAGACAAGATAGTCTTAAATAATTAACAAAACTAAGAATAACACAAGGGTGCCAAAGAGCAGATTAAACAGAAGATATATAGAAAATAAAAAAAATACCAGAAAATATAGAAGGTTGAAAAAGTAACTTAGCTTGTTTGACATTGCTAAAAGCAATAAAGCTTAATATAAATATAAGAACAGAAGGCAATTTATGAATAATATTTTATTTTATTTTTTTTTTTAAATATTAAGGTGAGTACTTGCGACCCAGGATTTTATTGATAGTATATTTGGCTAATGGTTGCATTACAACCACAGGGGGCAACTATGAGAAGAGTATACAACTAGCCACTCGTACAACTTTAGTCATTGTCTAATTTAAGTAGTCTGCTCAAAGGTTCTATACTAGCTGCCATACCTGGAACCCACTTGTAGGTTCTCTATTTAACTACTTTGTTTCCATATCCACCCACCTACCTCTGCCTACCAATGACCCTGGCTAATGCTAGTAAAAATATGCCATGGTCACTAAGTCTTTAAAGCAGTTTTTTTGAACCTTTGACCTTGTACTAAACCTTCCAGAATCTTTTGTATCTCATTCTTACAGCTGACCTGATATCGCTATGGCTAAAACCAACACTGGCAGTCAGGGCATACCATTAAACCAATTTTGCCTTTGTAGAGTTCATCCCAACTCCGGTACTAACTTCACAATATATCCTTACTACTTTGGTATTCAATTTAAGTTTCACTAAGCTGCTATTCCAGATAGCCCAGAAAGGTAGGGTGAGATCATACCTCTAGTTTACATGTTTGCCAGCATGTACTCTTTTTCTCCAGAACCCGAAAATTCCAGCAGCCTGGTTGGTTCATCTGGTCCCTCTCCAAGGACCAGCACATTTGCCCAGTTTTACAAGTTCTAGCTCCATTCACAAGTCTAGTCTTTACAGTAGCACCGTCAAAAGTTCAGGTTACCTCTCTACTTGGGTCTTCCAAGTGGGCTTC